TTTTATAGCCTATAACCTTCCTCCATAAATACTCTAACCAACACACATCGAATCTTTCAATTCGAGCTAGAGTTTTTGAGATTAGCGCGAACAAACAAACAAACTCTTCAGCTTTATATATGAGTATAGATATAGATATGCGTCAACCTATTTCGGCTATAGATATTTTCAGACTGAAACTGCAATTAGATGAAACTTCGCGTCTTTATCTGTGGTCAGTGAAACACTTTTATTAACAGGTGTATCACGCTGCGACCTGCTGAAAATGTGGAAAAACTGGGAGAATTAAACTTCTTTGAGTTTCCGTTGCGGGCGCTGAGAAAACGCTTAAAGAAATCAAGATATGTGTATGAAAGAATGATTTTTTTTAAATGATCTAAAAACATGTCCGTGATAGTAGATATCTATCTCTTAAAAGTAACTCGCAAGAACCTTCCAGAGAATCAGATTTGAGAATTGATCATTATATATATATATATTATAATAATAATTTTTCAAACAACCAGAAAAACGGATAAGCTAGTTTAAAATAAATTTTATTTAGCTATAAAAGACATTCATTTGGGAATACGTAGGACGTACGTTACCGTATTTTTATGTGGGGACAACTAACGAGTGGAAGGGTCGTTGCTGACTGTACTTGCTGCTGGTCACAATGAGTCACTTAGTTAATTAAAGGCATAAAGTTTAAATGGATTAGTCTATTTTCTGAAGCAACGACGTACTAAAACAAATATTCTACCGCGTTTATTCATTCTTTTAAAAATTGTTAAATAAAACACTTATAACGGTTTCAAACGTGAAATTAGTATATTAGTTAAACTAGCTGTGCCCGCGACTTCGTCCGCGTGGAATAGTGACTTAGAAGTAGTAGTAGATTTTAGTAGAATTTTCAAATATTTAGGCTGTTTATTAATTTATGTAAGGACGCATTTAAGTCAGCCAATCTATGTTGTAAGTGCAACTTTGCCGCAACACTCTCACCTCACATCACTCCTACTTTAACTTCCACTCTCATTCCTACACTCACTCACACTCCCAACCCTTTTTTATCATTGAAAAGTAGCCTATGTCCTTTCTCAGACTCCACAATATCTGTGTACCAAATTTTGTTTAAATCAGTTCAGTAGTTTCGGAGTTAAAGCCGGACAGACAGACAGAGGTTACTTTCACATTTATAACATTAGTATAGATTACTTACGATTTATTTCAACTAAGACATGGCATTTTGGATGCTTGCAGCCGTGGTCACGAGGGAAGCATTCGACGTCGGGCGGTAGTTAAAATAAATTGTTAATAAGGTAACTAATATACTTCGCATTTCAAACCGTTAAGTTTATTTAAACACGTTCATTCGCACTCATTTTAACAAGAGCCATATTACCTGTGCCCCTGCAAGATAATCCCTTCGTTAAGGTCTAATAATCTGTCAGAAAATACGGTCTGTCCAGGCCCCATGGCGTATCTTCGTGAAATTAGAGCACTACAGCGCTCTTTATTTTCACTTTAACATTAGCCAAATTAACAAGACCTCCCCCGTCAGTGGAAACGGCGAGAACGTCTCTATAATTATAGCGACAACGTGACTCATCTTGCGTTGGTCGTTTGCTGGAATTTTCCGGGGAAAAAAATTGTGGGCAAGCTTTTTTTTACCATCTGCTTCTTTATTGCGTTTCTTTTATTCGTTCATTGGTTAAGCTCAATTTATGTGCGCGAAGTAATCGTCCTTATGAGATATTTATTGCTATCTATAAGAACGATGGCCTTATTATTAATCTTCGGATCGTGATTTAGATTCTCACCAGGTCCAGAGACAAATTTTCAAATAAGTTTAACTAATATATATCACGTTTTAAACCGTTAAAGTGTTTTATTTAAATGTGTACTACTCGCGTAAACTACATATTGTATTTATGTTTTAGAATTTTATTTCCTTTTACTATTTGCGTAAAGGTATTGTAAACGATATTTCGTTGTAACTTATGACGTTTGAAGAAGCTTATATTTTAGTCAAAAAAATGGTTTATATAATTTAACCCACACTTGGAAACATAACTGTTTATAAAAATACAAATTAAAGTCAATTTAATCTAAAGAAATTTACGACACGGACAGGAGTTCTACTTATATCTACAGCGTTCCGTGATATTGTTAATCTGCAGGACTGGCTAACTGGACGTTTCAACAAATGCAACATTAGGCATAGTATAAAGTCCAATAGCATCTAAGATCAAAATACCGAAAAGCATTTATAACAATTACATTATAATTGTTTGAGAAACACAAGTAACGCAGACACGATAATTAGAGTTGAGTGGGCCTGGTTGTTGTGAAAAGTCTTTTTTTTTTATAATTAGAGGCGAAATTTTTTGTCACATTGTCTTAGAAATGTTGTTTACGAATGAATATTTAGTATTTAGTTTGTGGCTATTGTTTTTTATACGTATCTTTTTTATGATAGAGGATCACAGACAAGCATGAGATTCAATTGAAGGAAAATGAAATACCCCAGCTGTATAACATCTCAACAAGATGCGCGGTCGACCTATTTTGGCTTTGCATATCATCCACAGACTGAAACCGAAACGCGATATAACTTGACAGCTTTTTGATCTGTGGACGATGGTTCGTGATGGAACTGTAATGTAACTTATGAACTTCGTTTTAGTTTGATGGGACTCAAACCGCCTCTACACATATGTCATCAGTTTTATTTGTTTCAAAATACATACCCAACTCATACTACATAATTAAGAAGTCCTAAAATCAATGTAATTGATTTACATTTACACTTTACATTATTTTTGAAAAGGGCGTTTTTATGTACTACTGATTGTTTACTGAACTGTTATAATTAATTTTGACGGACCCGTGGGTTCGATCCTCATGTCAATGTATAATTCTTCTGAAACAGGCTGCACTTCTTCTAGAAATCTGGAAATTAAGTGAGCGGTAGGAATATAGAAATTCCGTCTGGGTAACAACGGATGTCTGGTTTACGGAAAAGTCGTGAAAGCTTAATCACGTTTTGGTTTCAGTCAGTGGATTTCCGAATATCCAAAGCCAAAATAGGTCGACAGTGCATTTTGTTTAGATGCTAGAGGATGTATATATCATGTACCATCAAGTGATACCCTCTCTGTCCTTTTCTTTCATTAAAAAAATTAACTCGTAAGAAAACTATCCTAATTCACCACAGATAACCTACAAAACAATGAAAGTAATGTTATCTTCGCAATTATATGACAAAGCTTTTGTAATCGAAAAATTCCTCACCTAATAATCGATAATTCAAACTCCGATATCGAATCGATTAATTACAATGCAGTATTCAAATCGACAGTGATTAAGTGAAGAATTTCCCCTCGACTTTGCCACCAAACTCAATCAAAGTAATAAATCTTTAAGAACTTAACTTACAACTTCCTTCCCAATCCATTAAGTATCGCGATGTTTTTACGAGCGAATAGATTTTATAATCGAGTTACCGATTCGATTGTTCAATCGAATAATTGCTGGATTTGTTTTTATGTGATTGATTTCGTTGTTAGACCCTTTTTTATAACGACAATATAAAGTTAAATTGTTACTTGGGATTACATATATTATTAAAGGCTATTTTTAAATGAAAAAATGTATGTCACCAGTGGGACTAGAACCCACAATAGTATATTATGTATAGTGTATTTAGAATTCGAGTCTCGCTCGAGTTATTATTTCTTTTTTTTTCAAATTAATATTCTCGTATACGCTTTAGAGAATATGAAAGTTAAAGCTCTTATTTCTATCAACCAACTTTTAAATAACATAAACATTGTTAACACTTTAAAAGGCGAAATTTATTAACTTATTGACTATTTTATTTTAACTTGGGCCGACGTTTTTATGTTGTTATGTTTATGCAGTGTCGTGGACACGGGGAGAATGAAGATGGAGGATATAATGTGAACATCAAATATGCTACGCTAGCGCCATCTGTTCATATTTGGTATTTTGAGAAACTGCCTGGATGCTAATAAAACTGACAGTGTCCTGTCGTTAACTGGTATATATTTTTTAATCAATAATTATATTAATACACTTAACGGCTTAAAATGCATTTTTTTATAAGTTAATATTTTTTAAGTACGACGTGTCTTCAGCTGTAAAAATAAACTGTTGTTTTTCACGTGAGCAAGAAACACCAGGTTTATTTGAACACTTCAAGCATCCTTCTCCCTTACTTTTCACCTTCAAGCCGTTTATCTTACAAATAGGTGTTCCGATCTTTCCTAAAAATGGTATAATTTGGCGAAGCGATTAAGCAGGCGTTTAAGATTTTATGCGAAAAGTTTGCTGAGCTGGCCGTCTTGTTTGCATAATTTAAGTGTTATGCTTAACGGAGTCAGCGCCAAAAATATACAGCGTGTATTTTAAAATGAGACGAACACGGCCTTGGCACGTTGGTCTTTTGCTTTTCAAAAAACATTTTGTCTACGAAAGTGATATCAAATTGTTTGTGAAGTGCAAAATCTGTTTCCCCTAGGCAATACCATAGAGAAGACATATTTCTGTGTCCGGTGTGTTTTATACAAAAATTTTGAAATTCAAAATGAAGTAGGATACTATTTGTAAACAAACAAAAAGGTTTTGTACCAGATTAATACTTTGACAGTATGGACATTGACCAATTTCAGTCCTCCCCAGGACTACGGCACAGCAAAGCATCCAAACAGTGGCGGTTTAGATATAATACATTATAAATTAGTTAACTAATGCATGTCGTATTTAAAACCGTCGAAAGTTAAATTGTTATGTCTTAACTGAACCCCCTTCACTTTGTTAACAATTTATTACTTTCATATATATTAATAACGTTTATATTACAAAAATGCTGTGTACAAGTCTTAACACAGACAAAATATAAATCCTTATACATTAGCACCGTTCAACGAGGAGATTAATATTGAATTTCCGCTTAGCGGAAACCTTTTTGGTTTCGGCCTTGAAAGAACCCTTACCTTTATCTTAATAGTGGTAGCTTTATACGCCCTGTCTGCCGTGTTCTGGGCTTGACAGACAAACGTTTGGTTGTGATGCTGTCTTCGCGGCCGGAGTCGAAGAACTGACCTAAAAAAAACTACATTATTAGATGATTATTTAAATAAAAATATATATTATAACGTTTAAGAGATCGCTTGTTCGAACGCGCTCACCTCTCAGAAACTACTGGTTCGAATTAAAAAAATATGTTTGTGTTGGTTAGAGCATTTATCGAGGTAGGCTATAGGCTAAACATCGCGCTGTGACTAATTGGAGCGTAAATTCAAGCGGAAAATATGAAAAAAAAGCGGGTAAAATTGAGGTTTAAACTTTATTAAAATACAATATAGTCGAATTTTGAATGGGATTATGAGATATATTTATCTTTTGTCTCTTGTAATTTTATCTAATTTAACGTAGTGGGGTTCGTACATAGCAAAGTTAGATAAGTTTAAAAACGATTTAACAAATACATTTCGCATCTTAAACCGTTAAAAGTGCTTTATTTAAATGTGTACTAATCTCGTAAACCACAGACGATATTTACTTGAGAGTAACTTCAACAGCACATGAACTAGTTGCAATTCCAGCTGAGGCTTATTATTACTTAAGCAAAAAAATCACTAACCTCGCAGTGTATCGTCTTCCATCCGACATTTCTTCAACTGCATAAGTAACACCCTGACTCAAAACACCTCCATCACTATCCACCCATGTTATCTAGAATAGCAAGTAAATATAATCTAATTAGTTACTAGACCAAGTTTCATAATTAGCTCTATTTTTAGATTAATGAATGTAGAATAACATATTATGTATTTTCAGCTGCGTCCGAGTCGTTCAGATGTTTCTAAAGTACGTAAGTTAGTATTTTTTAAAAGTACATAATTCTATTGAAAGTTATTTAAAACTTTATTTAGTAAAAACTTTAAAGAAAAAATCTTGTCCAATATCCGGCATCTTGTTTTCTTGCTTTGCTCTGCAATGTGGATATTAATTTATCATCGATTTTTAAAAGTGCCAACATGCGCATTAAATGAAAAAATGTTTTTTTACGACCATTTCTTTAAAGGCAGAACTTATGTGGACATCCAAGATTATAATCTAAGTCCTAAACTAAGCTACCGCTTTAAGAGAAACAATATACTTTAGATAACGAACAATTTTATGATGAAACACTCCTATTTTACAACAAACACACACACAAAATAAAAACGATTATATAACAAACAAAAATACACAGTTTTGATAGATAATTCATCTGCATTAGGATAATAAAATATATATATATGATTCAAGAAATAATAAAAAAAACACTTCGATGGTTACCATAGTAACCTCACTATTAATTATATTTTTATGCAAAGAATACAACAAATGAAAATAATTATTGTTAAGACGATAGATTTATCTGTATGTAGGTATCTAACATTTTTAAATTAATATTTGTTTATGTGACAATGTAAAATCAGTATATATATATTAAAAAAAGATTAACCAATACCAAACAGTTACTCACTTCTGCAGCAGGCTTTCCTCCGACGGAGACGCATTCTAAGTCTACATCTCTGTCCTCAACAGCTTGCAGAACTGGACCTTTTAGTATCTTCGGAGGCTCAGGAGGCACCAAAACCGTTAGGCGGGCAGATCTTGACCGAATCGCTGTTTCACCTAGTAAAAGAAAGTGAACTTATGTAATTTAAAACTGTTAAAAGTTACTTTGAACGGTTTTAAACCCGAAATGTATTCGTATCATTTTAATGCATTGTTTAGTAGCCGAGGGTGACTAAGTGTGCTGTTGCAGAGGCTCCGAAACGTCAGGCCGTTATTGAAATAAATTAACAATACGATAACTAATATAATATATTTCTCGTTGCGAACCGTTAAAAGTGTTTAATTTATATGTGTACTACTCAGTGAAATTATAAGGAGTATATTTAGTTAGGTTATAGTTAAAAATAAATAAACAGTTAAAGGTATTCTTCAAATCTTTTAAAAAACATGCGCTCGTTCAATTTAGGTTATAAAGTTCTTTGTATAAAACTTATTATCAGACGAAATATTTGTTAACATAAAAGCAATGTTATCTCGAATGACAGCGAGGTAATTGAAGAGAATATTTTATCCATCTAGATAATATATTCTTGTTTGCGTGAAAATGCGTGTAGGCGTAGAAAAGTAAGTTAGATGTACGAGATATAAATAATCTTGTTCTATATACAATAGTTCGTCTCAGACACATTGTATCATGACAAATTAATGCTTTAAGTCTTGTCTTTTGATACGTTATTTAAAAGTAAGAAAGCATTTGATTTCGGCATAATTCCCGCCCTTGCATTCTATTTCAATTTATTAGATGTTTGAATACTAGCCGTTAACTATGACGTCATTCGTCTTGTCTTTATTGCAAGTTAATCTTATAAGATAGGCTAATACTGTCTGGGATATATTTTAGATCATTTTAAGACAAATTCTTCAGTACATATTTTTTGGGTATCTTGGATCCTTTTTACAGAGCACGCAACGGAATATTTTCCCCTATTTTTCCACATTTCCCGCTGTTTCTTCGCTGCTATTGGTAGCAGCTTTTATAGCCTAAAGCCACAATGCTAGGCAATACCTTTAACCATTTGGCTACAAAGGCGGCGGTCAAACAAACAAGCAAACCTTTTATAATATTATAATTTGGTAAAGTTAAGTAAAGTTGGAAATTTGGTAAGTTTTTAGTTTAGTTCAATCAAAAGTGGCGCGACATGGCTCGTGTTCAGATACACTTAGGGTTGCCTTCGCTTAAACTCTGCCTGCCACGCTGCCGCGTGTCTTGATCTACCAGTGGAAAGCGCAAGAATATCTCTATCGCGTCTACAAACAAAGCAAGAAACGTGACTACCCAATTCAAGTAATTTATATCTCTTACAGAAAATTTAAAATGAAGAAAAAACATTCAAGTTCAAAATACCACGTGAATTATAAAGGCAGACTTAAAATGTTGAATATGCGAATCGTCGTTGACCTAACAAAATACTAGCGAAGAATTTTAGTTCAGAATTTGTGGCAAATATTTCAGTGGCCTTTGTACAAAAAAAAGGTTTCAGCTGTTAAAACAGGCTGAATAAGTGTTTTTTTTTATACGCGTTTGTATGCTGCATTGGGGGACAATTTTATTACTACAACTTTAACGACAAGCATGTGGGTTGCACTGCCGACCTATTTTGGCTTAGATATACCAATTTACACTTGTCGACGTTGACATTTGAGGATTCTGATTCAAGGCTAAATATATGCCTATCGCAAATTTTGGATTTTTAACCGTTACTTCGGTAGCTGTTGTTTGTTGGGGTAATGGGAGCAATGCATGGCTAATAATCAACTGTTAGTGGGTTCGACCCCACTTGTTCCGATAATTATCTATTCTAGTCTGGAAATATAGATATAAAATTGGTGGTACAAATATCGAAATTCCACCCGGATCACGAACCACCGTCCACAGGTAAAAAGCCGTCAAATTTGATCGCGTACCTTATATTATCCGTGGATTTCCGAATATCCAAACGCAAAAAAATCTCGATAGTGACTATTTCAACTACGTAGGTACTTACAAAAATCATATGAATACTGTCTATAGTTTACGCAAGTAGTACACATTTAAATAAAACACTTTAACGGTTTAAAACGCGATATATTAGCGAAACTTATTTCAAAATGATTTTTAACTTCGGCCCCACGTGTCGGCTGCTGCAAATCATCAAATAACTTTACTAGCTAATATATCGCGTCTTAAACAGTTAAAGTATTTTAATTAAAAAAATCATATATTCCAACAATAAGATGAGGCGCGGATATTATCTATTCTACTGTCTTCGTTATAAGTATATACAAATCTTTTATTTAACTTTGTGAAATGGGACCTCATTATTTGGATGTCTTTGCGAATGTGTCTTAAAAAACATCAACTTTATTTAAATTTTAAAATTTTATAGTATTAAACTAAGTCATTTTTTCTGTCCCTATATACGCTTAAATCTTTAAAACTACTGGACGGATTTTGATGCGGTTTTTTAATAGACGGAGAGATTCAAAAGGAAGATTCGTATTCGTATACAACGTTCACAATTTTTCTGTAGTACATTTAGTATCAGCATTGCACCCAAGCGAAGCCGGGGCAGGTCGCTAGTAGAATATAAAACACTAAAGTTAACGAATACGCGCCCTTAAATTAACATAATATAAAATATTCTTAATTAACCTGTATTTAAACAAAAGGCGATCTTAAATTTTCATCGGGCGTTGACTTAGGCTGGCTATAAACAAGAAACACAACTAATTAAGCCGTATATAAGGCTTCTTACTACCTAAGACGCGCCTTAAATGGATTAGGAATGCTCCGACGTACTCTAACTTTATGGCAGAGCGACATTCTTTTGACCTTTTTGTAGAACATGCCTAACGATTAATTAGTCAATCTATCTTTGTACTAATTAAACTAAACCAAATTAAAAACAAATGTATACAAGTAGATATCAATCTAGATTATGAGATAGTAGATAAACCAAAATATTTTTAACGGTTTAAAATAGTTACTAAGCTTTCTATTGAAATCCGTGGTTCTATCGTACTCTGTACAGAAAGTAGATTGATCCTCTTGTAAAAAAACAAAGAAACAGACACAAAGGTGTGTTTTTTCGCCACAGATAACCCGCAATGTCGCTTTTAAAAAATCTGACTACTACACTGACTACTTATAATTGAATTATTAAAACACATTTAACAGTTTAAAACGCGAATTGCTGTATTTAACTAACGATTTATTTTAACTACCTATGAAAATAAATGTATAATTTAATCTAACGAAGTATAGTCACTACAGACTATACTTCGTTAGGTCGTGAATTTGATAGTTTTAATATAAACAATAGTTTGAAAGTTCTAACAAACATTATGAAATTCAATAGGTTTTATTGTTTGATGCTATATAAATTTGTCACCTAATAAGTTTGTAAAGCTAAATATTTATCTTTCAAAAAATAAGAGAAATCAATTTAGGATAGCTACACTTAGCTTGTTTGAAATATTGAGTTTCATATATCCTCTAAGTAAAATCCAGAACATACGCGTCTCCAAACGGGAGTGGCGGGACAAACCCAGTAGTGACAGTGAACTAACAACTTTCAACTTACCACTGCACTGTGTAAATTCAGTATTGTGGTGTGGGTTAAATTATAAGATAGCGCTTTTTTTCCAACAGACATCATCGTGGGTTCATTAAAGATAGAATTAAGCTGATTAAAAATGTTTTATTTAAATATTCATAAATGTATATATAGTAGTTTTGTAAATGCACAGAAAACTTTTCCGTATATAGTATGACACAGATTAATTTTCATTTATACAGTTACTGTACAAAAATATATCAAATGATACAGTACCTGTGATCCTATACTTAAACCTAAATCTCAAAAAATGGCACAACGATGACTGAGAAGAGACAACAAGACAGTTCTATAAGGACGCAGTTAGTTACTCTAAATAGCAATCACGTGGGAAACAGATGGCGTAACAGATTTGACTTTGACGTTAATAACCCTAAGGTTCTCTCGTGACCCACGGTTTTAGTAAAAGAAATCTAGTATATTTGTGGTTTTAAACTATTTTAATATTTTACTAAAAGTATCTCATAGTTATTCACTCTTCCTTAAAGTGAGTTTTGGGCCTTAAATACTAACAGAGCAATCGTCGGAGATTTTTTTTATATTTATTAAAATTTAATAATCATAAACACAAACTGCAAAATCCAGAGAAATACACTCAAATATAAATAAGTAAAACAAAATATGAACGTACAAAGTATAAAAAGTTAATACTTTTTTTTAACCATAATAGAGATTTAGAGATAACAGAACTAAAATCTGAATTATATAAGTTTCAAAAAGACAGTAAACGATCGATTTTTTTTGTTTTAGGGCAATCCAATAGTTAACCAACCAATTTGACGATTGTGCTACGAATCCATTATAAACTTTGCAATATGTTTCATGTGATTTCAATTACGCTAATCACTTGGACCACACACGTTAGACAAAGCCGCAGCAGTGAACAATTTGCAAGTTTGTTTGCTATGACCATTCGAAAGCGCTTCGCTTCTTTACAATTTACACGATTTTTTTATGAAGTGGTACGTATAGGAGACAATGGGCCGGGGGCCATTGTTGGGACAAGAAAATGAAACAACTCAAATGCCCATTCGATGTAGTTGGCTTTTAAAAATGATGTGCAGAGATTAAAGTTTGGGACAGTCACTTAGTGAAAAGTAAAGTGTTTTTTTGTAGTTTACATAAAACACTTTTTTGTTATTTCCAAAGATAAAATGTTCTTTAAAATAAGAACACGAATATATTTTGTTTTTTTTTTAATTAAGATTATGTTGATTGTTATAAAATAAGTTAAAATTGTTTAAAAACAATGTTATTTAATATTGTAAAAAAAATATAACATTGGTTTTTAATTTATATAATACCATCATGTGCTATGAATGAAAATATATAATAATAGAATTTGTTTAATATAATTGAAATAATATAAAATGCATATCTTATTAAATGGGCTCAATTTAATGTTAGCGTAATCTGTGGCAGGTTCTACGTATTACATTAATTATTACAGTATATTATTGCCAAACTAGCATTTATTAACATATAATGCAATTTAGAAGTGCCTAATGTTTGAACCCGTATAGTGAGACTATTTCGTGTCCTATATCGAACGAAGTGAAAAAAATATTACTGAGATTTAAGAAGATTGAAAAAAATTTTCGACTCGGCCAGGACTTGAACCGGCATCGTCAGCGCTCCGTGCTGTCGCTCTACCAATTGAGCTCCCCGCCAATGTTCGTGTGGGGAAAGATTCGATTCCTCCAAGTAAAAAAAAAACAAGTAAGCAACAGAGTAACGCTGACGATGCCGGTTCATGTCCTACTTGGGTCGATATTTTTCAAGATATTTACGACTTTCAAATTATATAGTGCCATCATGTGTAATAACGTGAAAAATATTACAAATAAAATAGGTTTTTTAAATATGACTTTTATGATAAGTACTATACGTGCATATAGCTTCCTATTAATAAAATTAAAACTATCGTTAATTTTTTTTTTAAATACAAGGAAACAAAATTGTTAATTCAAGCTGGACTCGAATCCACTAAGGCAAAGCCTTTAATATTGTTATATTATTGACGGAGTTTGATTTGGAGTTGTACAGATTTATCATACTCTGTGTTCGTCGTTCTTTATAATCTGTTCACAAAACGCTGACTAATAAAGGAAGCCCTTCGGAAACCTGACGAAATGCGACTGAGGGGAGTTATCAAGCTAGTCACCGTTGTGTCATCTTGAATTATTCAGGAGACATTACTCATACCAATTTGTAAAACATGACAGGAGATATTATAGGTAGATTTCTTTACTATCAATTGATGTTATTACAATACTTTAAAAACATTATCATACCTCTGTTTAGTTTACGCGAGTAGTACACATTTAAATAAAACACTTAACGGTTTAAAACACGATATATATTAATTAAACTCATTTGAAAATTATTTGACCAAGGCTGCTGCAAAGCATCCGAAACGTCAGGCCGTAAACACACTTTTTTGTCGGTTTCATTGAATTTCTGTACAAGAAAGGATCAAGAGACTTTAGTATTTTTTTTATGACAAAAAAAGGACAGAAACGCAGGGCTTTTAAATAAAACGTTTCCAATGGTATAAAACGCGATATCTATTAGTTAACTTATCTACAATGAGGTTTAACTACTCCCAAATAAGCTTTAATGAGTTAACTAATACATTTTGCGTTTAAACCCATTAGAAGACGGTTCTTGTGTCCAAATAAGTTGCACTGTCTATGCACTTATATTGTACTTATTTGATAACTTTAGTAACTTGAATTTGTATCGAAATCTGGAATTTATCAGGCTCTAAGATTGTACGTATGACGTATCCATTAAAATTTAAATTAAATATTAAAAAGAGAATCAAGAAAAGTTAAATATTTTCTCTAGACTTTATATTTATAATATTTACATCTATGATACATGTTATATAAGTATATAAATGTTTATATATAATTGATGAAAAAGATATTTTACGAAAAGTCGTCCATTTGTCAAAATGATTATTCATTTTGTCTAGCAGTTAGCAATCAATATAACTTGTAGGGCTTTCCAAATTGAGATAAGGGCATTTGCAAAGAAGTAACTCAATAATAAACTTTAAGTCTCTTTCGGGAAAGTTTAATTTTCTTCAGCAAAATTTTGAACTGCGAAACTTCGTTATCAACTTTGGAATGACAAAAGGATATTAATATATTTTTCTATTACGTTGTATTATTATTTTGGTTCTGTAATGTCAATTGCTTGCGTTTTTAAATTATATAATAAATACACAACTATAATATACGTCTACACCTAAACGACCTATATGTAGACTGTCAAATAAAACACTTTATACGGTTTTAAAGGCGTAATGCTAGCATATTTTTTTTCCTGACTCTGACCCGACGTCTGGGTTACTTTGCACAAAGCGGTCAACTTTTGTCGAGGTGTTATGTGTCACACCACTCGAGGAATCTCATATCTACCCATATCAAGACCTTTCTCTCAATTCTTTGAATCACTTTGCTACAAAACTGATGATGGCAATATGTTTTTATCATTATGTGTCTATGCCTCCGATTTATTTTAAAATCTAATTTACTTCCAATTTTCTTTAAAGACATCTCGCCCCTGTGCCAAAAATAATTTCGTCCCTTCCATGGCAGCTGTTAAAATATAAAGTTTAATATTTAAAGCCTCAAACAGCTAACCCAATTCTCATAACCCTAATTATCAAACAAGTTTTTGTCCGAGCTACTCGCAACACGTGTTTATGGTCGAAGTATTCCAGCGGAAGTGGCAAAAAGTTGGCGGAAGGTCTAACATTTTGAATTTGGAATTGTAAACAACTAATGTTTGGTCATGTGTTCAAAACAATAATAGATCATAAGAACGTCTGGTGGGTATGCTTACATTTATTACTTATAAAAAATGTGGGTAGTTATACTAACCTCGAGGTCCCGTACTGACTTGGCACTGGTACATTGCGTCGTCATCCAATGTGACGTCTCTGATGTCTAACGAATAATCTCCTGAAACATAATTAAAACGATAGTAAAATCCCGAACTCAATGCGGAAGACAGACACATTTTTTGTACCTGTTTCATTGATTTAGTTGGTGAAAGGCAATCATTTCAATAGATTTTGTATCTTTTGTATGAGTGAGAAAGGGCTATTTGACTGATTTTTTACATAACGATATGTTGAAATAATGTACTTTGTATTATTTGGCAAATGTCCTGGAACCCCAGAATTCTTATACATATTTCTTGTAATATATCAAATTCAACATTTAAATTGCTCGCCTTATATTCGTGCATGTCGATTATATGATCTATGTTTGGATTTACATTTTAACAATGATAGAAGTAATAACATGAGTTACAAATTTATTTGTTTATTAATGCAGAGAAAAGAATTGTTGCAAGCATGGTGCTTTATAAGTAAGTGACGTCATCGTAAAACCCACCCTAATCTGGAGCGTTTTCTGTCACGTGTCAAATTTTAGAAAAGTTTTTTTTTGCGGACTTATAATTAAATTAATTATTCTTTGTGCCTATTTCTAAGCTTATAATTAATACTTATAAACGTTATTGTCGCTATATTTTTGCACTGTCGAATAGCCCATTACAGACAGAGCCATCAAAACAAACTTAACTTAAAAAATAACTAAATAAAAATATAGCATTTTACAATCCCGGATCGAGCGATGTTTAGGCTATTTGCAATTTTTCTAATAAAATTTTTACCTACCTTCCTCATCACTCCCAATCATCTTGTACCGCTCGTATCCAGACAAGTGTCTATGCGTGCCTAGACCGAAGTCGTCCTTTGTCCACTGAAGTTGCCCCACTTTGTTTACGACGCGACATGGTAGTATTACTCTGCCCCCAACTACTGCACTCTGTAGTAAAAGAATATATTCATAATTTATAGAACAATGTTTGAAATATATAAGTATATATATTATCACTGTTGGATATTGAATTGACTTTCTAGACCAGTTTGTAAAATGTATTAAGAAGCTCAATTGATACTGGTGCAAAAACTAATTTTAAAAAGTCAACAGAGTACTTGTAAGTTGTTATATAAACGCCGACACCCCATTTTCGAGTTTCAGTTCTAGTAGAGTCACAAGTAGAGAAATATACCTACTCAGTACCTAACAGTTGTTTCAATAAGCCTTAACCTCCTACAGGTTATGCGCCCAGAACGCGAGTGCTACGTTGAAACTCTGACGATTTTTTTTGTGGCCACGTGTCGGATCATTAAAATGGATAATTTTAAATCTAAACGTAACATCAAACCATTCGACGGCGAAAAATACAGTACGTGGAAATTTCGTGTTCGAGCGTTACTAAGTGAAATGGATGTACTAAACACAATTGACGAGGTACCCATCGAGGAATCTGAAAATTGGAACAAAAGCAATAGAATCGCTAAAAGCATAATCATCGAGTACTTAGCAGACTCATTTCTTAATTTTGCGCGAGATGAAGTATCTGCGCGTAACATTTTCAAACGACTAGACGCCCTCTACGAAAGAAAAAGTTTAGCTACGCAACTAGCGCTGCGTAAGAAACTGTTGACATTAAAACTACAGAATGATGTACCCTTGATAAAGCATTTCACCGTCTTCGATGAGCTTATGTCGGATTTATTAGCGGCTGGAGCGAAGTGTGAAGAAACTGACAAGGTGGCTCATTTGTTGCTAACCTTACCTGCGTCATACGATGGAGTTGTAACCGCCATAGAAACTTTGACAGAGGACTCGTTAAATTTGGCCTTTGTTAAAACTAGATTACTCGATCACGAGGTTAAGCTTAAAAGTGACTCTAAGGATACAAGTTTAAAAAATACTACAAGCTATAGAAGTTACAAAAGAAGAGGAGTTATGAAAATAAGAACTTGAGTGTCAATATTAATAGCAAAAGGAAGAAGTTATATTCTACAAAGTGTCATCACTGTGGCCGAAAGGGTCATATGAAAAAGGACTGTTATTATTATAAGAGAAACGCTGTAACCAAAAACAATGACCGGCCAAGAACAGTGCAAGCTATTGATACTGAGCAGCCTACTTCAAATCATTCATCTGGTTTTGCGTTTATGACGGGGAATTATGCAAATATTAATCACGGGAAACATATCTCTTTCATTTTAGATTCTGGCGCTTCTGACCATTTAACAAACAGAGAAGATTTATTCATAAAGTGTAAGGTGTTAAAAAATCCTATTAAAATATCTATAGCTAAAAATGGTGAATTTATAATGGCTACAAAGATAGGATCTATGAAGTTAAAAAGTGATGTAGGAATATGTGGAATCCTGGAAGACATTTTATATTGTCCTGAAGTTCCCTACAACCTTCTATCGGTGTCCAAAATGCAATGTGCAGGATACACCATAGTATTTAATCAAGAAGGTGTCATAGTATATGATAAGAAAGGTGATGTCATCATAAGTGGTAAGTCAAATAAAAATATATTTCTAGTCAATTTTAAAGTTATGTTAGCGGTAAATTGCTCTGCTTCTATTACAAATAATAATAATAAAAATAATTATAATCTTTGGCATCAACGTTTAGGTCACTTAAGTATAAATAAGTTTTTACAATTACAAAAGTACAACATGATTAAAGATTCAAATGAAATTAAAAATATTGTTCCCATAAATAACTTGTGTGAAGCTTGTATTAATGGAAAGCAGAGTAGGCTACCGTTTAACAAAGAAAAGGATAAAACTCATATTAATAGACCGCTATTTATTGTTCACTCTGATCTTTGTGGACCTATCACTCCCTCAACGTTTGAGAGTAAACATTATTTTGTTCTATTTGTGGACCAGTTTACTCATTACTGTGTGACATATTTATTGAGTTATAAATCGGAATTTTTTTTTTTTTTGCTAAAAGTGAAAATAAATTCAATACCAAGTTGGTAAATTTATATTGTGATAATGGTAGAGAATATTTATCTAATGAAATGAAAAGTTATTGCGTGGAGAAGGGTATATCCTATCACTTAACAGTACCTAGAACCCCGCAATTAAATGGTGTTGCTGAAAGAATGGTTAGAACTATTACTGAAAAGGCTCGTTCATTAATCAGTTGTGCTAAATTAAATAAGGTATTTTGGGGGGAAGCAGTACTCACAGCTGTGTATTTAATTAACATTACCCCAACTAAAGCCTTAAAATGCAATAAAACACCATATGAGCTTTGGCATGAAAAAAAGCCACAAATTAAATACTTAAAAGTATTTGGTTCCACTGTCTTTGTTCATAATAAAGAAGTAAAATGTAAATTTGATGATAAATCATGGAAGGGTATACTCGTAGGCTATGAACCAAACGGTTACAAAGTTTGGAAGCCTGAAAATGAAAAGTTAGTTATTGTGAGAGACGTAATAGTTGATGAGATTGACTATCTTAAGTCCAGGCCTGCTAGTGAGAGTAGGTTGCCTGAAGAGAATATTCAAAATTCTCAATTTAAAGAAACTGACCCTGAAGACCAATCAGTTTCAACAAAATCTCATGTCTCTAATAAATTAAAATCAGGTATAAATAAATCTGATGAATACGAGATCCCTTGTAAAATTATTAAAAGTAACCATGACAATACTTCTTCCGTTGATAAAAAACTCTCAAGTTTAAGCAAACCTACAGATAGTCACACTGAGTTGAGAAGGAGTGCTAGGATTAAAGAACTTGACCCTGTATCTTATAAAAATTTAAATGATGGTATAAACGATTGTTTAATGTGTGCTCAATCTATTTTATATGAAATACCTAAATGTTATGACGAGATTAAATATAGAAGTGACAGAACTCTTTGGGATCAAGCCATTGCTAGTGAACTACAGTCCTTATCTGAAAATAATACTTGGGTAATCGTTCCAAAGCCAAATAATAAAAATATTGTTGATTGCAAGTGGATATTTACAATTAAAAATGATGAATTTGGAAATCCAGTAAAATATAAAGCCCGCCTTGTAGCCAGAGGTTTTAGTCAAGAATATCTAACAGATTATAATGAGACTTTTGCGCCTGTTGCAAGAATTGCTAGTTTTAGATTAATAGTCAGTTTTGCTAATCAGTTTAATTTACTTATACATCACATGGATGTAAAAACTGCATTTTTAAATGGGGATTTAAATGAAGAAATTTATATGAAAATGCCTCAAGGAATTAATTATAAAGAAAATTATGTTTGTAAATTAAATAAGTCAATATATGGACTAAAACAAGCAGCTAGATGTTGGTTTCAAAAGTTTGAACAAGCACTTAAAATTAAAGGTTTTCAAAGTTCATCTGCTGATAGGTGTATATACATTTTAAATAATGGTAATATACATAAAAATGTTTATGTATTATTATATGTCGACGATTTAATAATTTCTTGTGCAGATACTTTATTACTCAATGAAATAAAGCATTATTTAAATAGTAAATTTAAAATGACAGATTTGAATGAAATTAAATTATTTTTGGGGATTAGAGTTACTAGATCACATAATGAAATATGCCTGGACCAGAGTGCATATATAAAAACAGTCCTTATGAAGTTTAATATGTCAGATTGTAATCCTGTCGGTACACCTTTGCAAAATAAATTAAATTATGAATTATTAAATTCTAAAGATGAATACTCTGCACCTTGTCGAAATGTTATAGGTTGTTTAATGTACATCATGTTATGTACTAGGCCTGATCTAAGTACAAGTATAAGTGTATTAAGTAGATACACAAATAAAAATAATAAAGAGCTTTGGCTTTGTCTTAAAAGAGTTTTGAGATATCTTAAAGGGTCTCTAGATTTAAAGTTACATTATATAAGGTGTGAATATAAAAATGTTTTACATGGTTATGTTGACTCTGACTGGGGTGGAAGTGATACAAATGACAGAAAAAGTACAACTGGATTTGTTTTTCAATTATTTGATCAATGTTCAATTACTTGGAGTACAAAAAGACAAATGTCAGTTGCGGCTTCATCAACAGAAGCTGAATATATGGCATTATATGAAGCTACAAAGGAAGCTTTGTGGCTTAAGTCTTTAATTACCAGTTTAAGTGTTAGTGTTGATAAACCAATAATATTATATGAAGACAATAATGGTTGTATTAGTATCGCACAAAACCCAACCAGTCATAAGAGGTCAAAACATATAGATATTAAATATCATTTTTCTAGAGAACAAATTGAGAAAAATGTGATAAAGTTGAATTACATTCCCACAGAACAACAATTAGCTGATGGGTTAACTAAATCAGTGCCTGTGAATAAGTTACAACAGATGAAAATTAAATTAGGTTTAAAATAAATATTAAAATTAATCAAATTGAATACTGTTGATTTAAAATATCAAATTATTATGTTTGATACAATGTAATATAAATAACTGGATTGTGAAATATTATGAATTGTTAAATCCTTTAGAATTAATATAAATGTTTATCAGTATAAGTGGTCTGATTAGGTTTTTCTGGGTTTTCCTAATCCTTGCAGCAAATGCTGGATCACCTTTGTATTTTCCCAGGTAATGCAATACAGAATTGATAATGATTTATTACAAAATTATTTTTGAGGGGGCGTGTTGGATATTGAATTGACTTTCTAGACCAGTTTGTAAAATGTATTAAGAAGCTCAATTGATACTGGTGCAAAAACTAATTTTAAAAAGTCAACAGAGTACTTGTAAGTTGTTATATAAACGCCGACACCCCATTTTCGAGTTTCAGTTCTAGTAGAGTCACAAGTAGAGAAATATACCTACTCAGTACCTAACAGTTGTTTCAATAAGCCTTAACCTCCTACAATCACTTTATTATAAAAAAAAGTAATGTTAGGTAATCTGTAAAAGAAACTTTTAAACCGACTGAAAAAAATTGAAGTTCTCAATTCGATTGTATGAACACATAAACTGTTTTGTTAGTTCATGGTTTATGAACATATTTTGATGATTCTTTTGTTTGTTGGAACATAAATAAATCCAGGTTTATCTCATTTTAACGAATCAGGGTTTTATGATCACAAACCAGATAATGGGTCTAGTAAAGAACGAACGAACTGCTTTAGGGTATATATTATATACTTCAATATCAAATTACTTAATGCACACAAATGCTTTTAGTAATTTTATTTTGATAGATTGTAGAAACATTTACTTTAAAACTATATTAAAACGTTTTTATTGCCTTATTTTTATTAAACTAAGTCAAATACGTTTACTTTGTGAGAAGTACATTTATTTGTTTCTTTTTAGTTCACCTTTTAGAAATCGGTTATTTTTTGTTAAATATTATTTTTTATCATAAAAAATACACTCAATCTAGGCAATACCAAAAATAAAACCAACACTGGTACAAGACTCCAAACAGGTCTAAAACCCTTTGTACACCATAATCGTCTGAATATAATGTCACTTTCATACGTCAAATTTGTCTTTCTAAAATTTCCCAAAGAAAAATATATTTGTAGCTTTTTCAAATTTAAATATACCAACAATTTCTTTATCTATCAAAGGTGTGTGTTATTATAGTTATTTTATATTATCATGTTCTTTTCAGAACTTTCTTCTAGCAATATCGCCTACCTCCACAATAAGCTAAAGATGCAATATATTCAAACCTGTGAAAGCTTGGAATTTTTAATATCACCCGTTTCAATACAACTAGATGTCAACTGTGTGGATTGGCCAAAGAATTATGTTGGGAAAGTTTGATTTATGAAGAGTTTCCTAAATTAATATTCCCTGATCCGAAACTTTGATTTTGGTCCCTGTGGGACCCCTGATTTATTTATTAGCCTTCGGACCTTTAGAATCTAGTTAACTAATTGAGAATTTGTAGATTTATCCTCTTTGGGAACGTTGGGGATGGAACTAACCAGATAACTGGATTCTCTGTTATGGACAAATTTTATTACTGTAGCAATGGAAACTGGAAAAAAAGTTTGCAAGTTGGGTAAAAAAATAAAAAAACGTCCATGAGTCAATCCTTACATATCATAAATGCGAAAGTAACTCGGACTTGTCTGTTACTCTTTCACGCCAAAACTAATGAACGGATTTCAATGAAAATTGGTAAACAGATGGTCTAGACCCTGAGAAACAACATAGGCACAGTTTTGCAAAAGGGGGGTCGTAAGGGGTTAAAAGAGGGGGGGGGGTAAAAGTTTGTATGCCAATACATTCGTGGTTTTGGAGGCTAGAACAATAAAACTTTCTTTTTTGCCTTTTTAGGAAAGGGTAGGAGTGGGGGTGAGGAGTGAGGAGAGTGAGAGTGGGAGTTAGAGTGAGAGTGTTGCGGCAAAGTAGCACTTACAACATAGATTGGCTGCGATAAATGCGCAATTACATAAATTAATAAACAGACTAAATAATTAAAAATTCTACCCAAGTTACTATTTCACGCGGACGAAGTCGCGGGCAAAGCTAGTGTTTAGTGCTATTGTATATTACTATTAATTATACAATGTCTTAAGGGTATGAATGGCCAAAAATCGATGAGATCGTAGGTTAGATCTCCAACGGGTCCAAAATGCTTCTTATCTATTTATAGTTTTTCTGAAACATGTTACTTTTTTCGCTTACTCTTAAATCGCGTTTCACTTTTTGTCTGGATTTCCATAACCAAAATAAAACAGCGTATCTTGGTGCGATGCTATTTGGCTGGAGCTCACCTTCCATCAAATGATTCCCATGAAATGTCGTCTCAATAAGTCATGATTAAAAAATACTGCTGGTGATATAATAGTGAATTGATTACCTGATCCTGTGGTTCCAACGCGAACTTTTGCTCCTTCGCACTAACTGTCACTAATAATAGACACAAAAACCATAGCTTGCTCACTTTAACTAAATCCGTCACTATCCTCAGCAAAATGAACAATGTGTTAGATCTTCTACTTGTCACTTTTGTTCTTCTTGTGAACACATTTAAACCTACTTCGTTTGTGTTTTGTCTTATGCATGCCATTATGTTCAAGATCTGGGGAATTGGCGAACATCCATCCGTAGTTCTAAGGCATTATTGTACCTGAAGCAAAAAAATATTACATTTACCAAAGATTTACATACTTAATAATTACAGGATAAACTTATATAAAATATTGCTTAATTATATCACAAACAACATATAACAACAAATTTAAAGAAAATATATAAAATACTGTCTATAGTTTACGCGAGTAGTACACATTTAAATAAATCACTTTAACGGTTTAAAACGCGATATATTAGTTTGAGTCTACCCTACCAGCTGCTGCAAAGCATCGGAAAGCCGGGTCGAAGTTAAAAATCATTTTCAAATAAGTTTAACTAATATATCGCGTTTTAAACCGTTAAAGTGTTTTATTTTAAAATATATATATTTAAAGGTTTTGAACTAACCTTACAATTTATTATTGTTAGTTTTGAGAGCGAGTTGCAAGAGAGAGTTGAGAACATAGTTGAATATATAAAATTATATTTTTTTATATAGCTTAATACGAAATACTTATATCGTAATTGGATTCAGATTGCTACCGAAACGGATCTCGAAATTGTAACAAGTTTTTTAGCTTTAGAAACATCCAGGTACGGATTCGTAATATTTCAGGTTACACATTCTAGCTTCACTATTTACTTAATCTTAGCAGAACTGTTTTAGAGTAAAATTACTCTATAATTGCCCTAATTTAATGTAGATAGCTTTAATGTTAATATAATATACATAAAGTTAAAATTTTGAGCAGCTAAAACAATTCAAGGTTTTGTTTATCGTATTCAGAAATATATTTAACTTTTTTTTAATGATAGAAAAGGAAGGCTCACTTTATGGTAGGTGAAATTAGCCCGGCTAGTGCTTCTAAAAAAAATGCGCTGTTGACCCATTTTGGCTTTTCAGAAATCCACAAACTGAAACCGAACCATGATTAAACTTCGCGGCTTTTTATCTGTGGTAATACGTGACCCGGACGGAATTTCGACATTCCTACCACCTACTTAACATCCAGAACTTCCAGACGAAGCCAAAATGTTTTAATAAAAACTATAAATTGATTAGAAATAGTTGGACTCGGTGGGGATCGAAGTTTCAACCCATTGATTATTAGTCATTATTATCAATAGTCATTGCTACTATTAGATCACGACCCCGTCAAACTAAGACAGTTTTGTAGCGTAACGAAAAATAGGTAGTTGTAACGTTACCTAAATGTTGTGCTAAGCCCTACAAGCGGAGTCGTGCCAGCCAAGCCAGCCATGCCGGCCAGCCATGCCAGCCAACCCGCCAGCCATGCCAGCCATGCCCAGCTATGCCCAGCTATGCCAGCCATGCCAGCCGCTAACCATCATGTTAGCAACAGAGCCAATCACAAACCGAGCCGAGATGTGATAAGTGTATGTGAAGTTGGGTGTGATACAGTCTGTGGTGTGATATAGTCTGTAGTGACAAAGATAGTTCACTTCGCCCGAGATGACAGATCGTTGCATTCACGTATCGGGAAAAACGCGCGAAAGCGCGTGCACGACTTTTGGTTAGGCATTCTAATTGTTGGACTAATCAAAGCGAAAGCTCGTTACGGTCATTAAAAAATTAAAGTCTTTAATCGGTCAAGTTGTTTATTTAAACTACCTCGTTACATAGTATTATAAATGTTATTAAATATTTCAATTAAATATCGACCAAATCCGGCCCTGTCCTAAGCAGAACGACAAAACGCGGTTACATTAAGTAGTGAACTCGGTTACTTATGTAGAGCACTTTACCAAGTTTTAAAGTACAGCTTCATACCGTATATTCTAAGTAGATATTTAATTTAATGAGCTGTTAAAAGTTCCGCTTAAACTTACCGCTTAATTGAAAAGATAATTTTAAGTGTTAATTGAACGAAGTTATTTGAACGAGGAAAGAATTGAAGAGACTTAAGTCTAGCGCTTATATTGTACTTTGGAAGTTTAACACGAAGCTTTATAATAAGCGAATGTTAAGGTTGAAATTACTTTGCGCGAGAGGTGCATGTATTAATATGACGACAAAATTCGACGAGACTATAAGACTCGGTAGCGGTTAGAGTAACAACACGAAACGCCATGGATGACGGTTGGAGTTCTGCCCTAGTCGTAAGTATTCAAATCATAATCGATTTTTAATTTACGAAGCTTTATAGTAAAGCTTCCGTTTATATAAATACTTGAAACGTTTTCACTTGTTAGATTGAAAATCTATAAGAGTCGAAATTTGACGAAACAGCCGAGACTCAAACCAACGACTGTATTGTTTAGTGCTCTTACCGACCAAGTTGTGTCTATTATAAACTAGGAATATAACAATACAAGATTATGACCTGTACATACAAACTAGTTCTATATTATTAAACTAACAAAATTCCTCTTTATAGCTCTATATAATTAAATATACAGACAAACTCACTCTAAGTATTGTCTGTCTATGCGAGAGGTTCATATTTAAATAAAACACGTTTAACAGTCTAAAACGCGACAAATTTTACTGCAAGAAGTGCAAAGCATCCAAAACGTTGGGTCATAGTAAATTGTAAATAAGTCAACTTACAAAAATGTACTACGTTTTAAAAGGTTAATAATGTTTTATTTTGAGTTAAAAATTATTATTTTGCTGTATTATATTATATTGATAATATAAATCCTATTTAGGCAGTATATCATAGTGACTATGCGTGATACAGATTTCGTAAGTAAGCGATTTCATAACGTAGGTCGGGACTATGATAATCAAGAACATTTATTACCAATACAAAATCCCTTGAGCTTGAAACAGGCGCCGATCGTATTTCAAAAGAGAAGTGGCATGAGATTTTAATATTGGCGTAAGTTAAAAGCGGTAGCGTTGAGCATCGAGGTTTTTTAATATCTTAAATAGTCTTTCACTAAGCTCAAAAAAAAATTAGTACAATTTTAGTTAGGTCACGTTTAGTTTTTATTCAATGAACAAAGGGTTATCCTTGAATAAGGCTTTTGCAGCCATTAGCAAATATTATGGGGTATAGAGTTAGGTTTTTCGTCCAGTCTATGATATTAGTAGGAGATACTCAATATCACAGTGTTCCACAGCAAAGACACAGGACACATAGGAGCGCACGCAACTGAAGCCCAAAAGGAAGAATATTTTTCCCCGTTTTTTTCACATAACGTACTGTTTATATGCTCTGCTCTCTTTCTATTCATTGGTCTGATGTTTTATAGCCTAAAAAAGCTTTTCTTTATAAATGACCTCATCAACGTAAAAGAAAATTTTCAATTAGAACCAGTAGTACCTGAGATGAGCGCGTACAAACAAACCCCTCAGCGTTATAATAGATTCCAAAATTTTGTCTGACAAAAAAGCAACACAAGTAGTTCAACTGACAAAACCACTGTACGCTGTCTTTTTTTAGGGTTCGAGTGTCGACTAGTTAAGTCCTCGAAATACAGGTTTAGCTAATATGAAAATTGTAATAGCTCACGTTGACATTCTATTTATGTCGCCATTTTAATATCGTTAGTTCTTATACCTTGTACCACACTACATACAACTACATACGGGCATACCATAAAAGCAGGTGGCGAGTACTCCATAGATCTAACCGGGACACATCCTCTAAATTTAGAATAACATATGACCGTCTTTCTCTTGTCAGATTAATTCTTATGCGTATATTTGAGTAATGACGTGATTATAAGATCTCAGAAAATGCAGTTCAGATTTTTTAATTATAATTTAT